CCTCCCGGGCAGGCGGGAATCGAACTCATGCAGAAGCGGCTTTAGCTTCTCAGTGCTGTGCTTTAACCCCCGGCGCCACCAGGGAGGGCCCCAGACCTCTTTTTGGACAAAATGAGAGTGTCGAGTTGGTTAGTCCATGGAAGGACCACCAGTGCTGGCATCCCATGTCTAGGATACTTACTCTGTACCCTGGAGAAAGAGAGGTCTGACTTAACAGTGCCTTCTCTTTCACACAGCAGCAGAGACCTGCACTCAGGCTGAATGACTCAGCGTGTGCTTGTTGGGGAAGGACCTGCCGACATCCCTCCCGCTGACCCCTCAGAGTCTGAGGGGACCACGGAGCAATTGTTCAGTTCTGCCTGTATTTACTACACAGGAAGTACAAACAGATGAACGAAAAAGATTCCAGGACAACTCCAATAATTGTTCTGACACAAACAGCCCAAACAGAAAACACATGTGATTTCCCCTCCGCCTCACCAGTCTGGCATTCAGAGTCAGGCTCACAGAGGAGGGCCGGGCCTCTGCAGGCAGGAACTGGAGGCAGAGGCTTCCCCTGCTGCTGGCTGAGAAAGAAGAGGGGCACGAGGAATGCCGGTCAGTGGCTGGGGCCTGGATCGGTGTCTCTCGAGCCGGGCGGCTCGGTGCAAGCTCACCGCCTCTCACCCTCGCCGCAGCGGGCGTCGGGATGCACGCCAAATACAGCAGCACCAGGGACATGCTGGAATCCGACGGGGACACCACGATGAGCCTGTACTCTCACGCCTCTACGGCGACCCAGCGGCCAGAGCGTGGGCACACAGGTACTCAGAGCCCTTGAGAACTGTGTGAGATGACCTGCGTCTCCTGGGAATAGACAAAACGCAGGGAAGAGTTAGAAAGGCGAGAAAGGACTCAGGACTCGCAGTAATGCTCAAGTGTACGTTTTGCAGCAGGTGCGCCACATACGGGACGTCTCCAGATACTGAAATCTATTCTCAGTGTAGAAGCAGAGGTTTGCTTTTCTGAAGTCCTTCCATCGCTGGCATAGCGGTTGGCAGTTGAAAGTGGGCTGTTTTTACCACGGAGGGCCACCCACAGGGAGGGGGGAAGGCAGGTAGGAATCAGATGCAGGGTACTGTCTTCTTGCTAGTACGTGGGACTTTTAAGGAAGGGTTCGAGCGGATACATTAGCCCTGTATTTCGTCCACTAATTTTGGCTTCTTGAAGCCCTGAGGACTTGCAGAGTCCAGTCAAAGCCAGGGGTTTGGTTTCACCAACTGTGAACTGAGGGGGATGAAAGCAAATGTTTTCTGAGTTCCCTTCAGCTCTGAGATCCTGATTTGCTGATCTAACTAGTGGCCTCAGATGCAATTATACCCTATGCCAGTCCTTGTGTTTCTGTTGATTGCAAGAATTTTATTAAGATGACTGAATAAATGTTTTAAAATATTTCATTTTAGTTCCATTTAGCTTCTACCTTATAATTTTATTTCCAACTATTCACCTCCTGGCATTGTAATTTTTTTTTTTTTCTTCAGTGCCTAGAAGAGGTAATTCACACACATAGAGAAAGAAATTATTCCCTGGGTGACTTAGTCCATCTAAGCCAGATATGTGACTTGAGTTGGGGAAAAGACATCATACTGTGATATAAATCAGACGAGATTCTGACACCAAGTATGTCCTTACCAACTAGCTGTATGATACTTGACAAGTTACTTAAGTATTGTGAGGCCTCCAACTTTTAGAAAATAGGGGGAATACTCAGTATATTTTTGCTTTTTGTATGTGGGGCATTGTTTAAAATACTTTACACTATTAATTCATATCAACTTGGAAGTAATGTTAAACGGAAGTACAAACCTCTCTTTTTTGTAATCAGAACATTATATATTTTAGTTTTATTTTTTATGGATTAACTTTATTGCATATATGTACAAAGGAAAAACAATAAATACTTAACAGGTCAATTGACATATCTACGAACATGACTTATCTATTAATTCCAGTGTCTGAAATCTCTCTATTACATACTACATATTTTACTATATATATTTATTTTCTAGTAAATACTACTATTTTGCATTCTTATTAATTTTTTGGCAATCTGTCTCCGCTCAAGTATGTTCTGGGTTGTTCTCCTGGCTCCCACCTCTCTTCTCCCTCTCCATACACCTCCTCCTCCCCACAACTCTCCTCCTTCTGCATCCTCTTGGATGCCTTAGATCTATGTCCACTTTCAAGGGAATAAAACCTCTCTTATAAGATGGCGATGAGCACTGAAGCTGATGTAAGACCTTGCATATCATATTAAACAATGTTCTACTTGGGAAGCTATTAGGAAAAAGTGGGGAATTCCAGCCCCCTTGATTCCAGCAAAATGGTGAAGTCTCAGTTTCAGTAGCTGCCTGCGTGTGTAACTGGAGATATGTTTGCTTCCAAAATATCTTGTGACGAGTCAGCTATTAAGGCTGTAGTCTTACATGGTGTATACATAAACTTCACTTTCCCCTTTGATGAGAGCCAGCAATTCTCACCAGGGTTAAAGACCAGCATAACCAGGAACAGGCTGTACAAGTACATGCTGCTGAGACTGGAGGGTGGGGAGACGGTGGAACAGGATAAAGTAGCAACTGAAACTTCTGGCAACCTTTCTGTAAGAAAAGGAATTTGAACAAGTAGGAGTGGAGGTTAAAAGAAGCATCTTGGAGACAAACATCTGAAAATAGTTATCTTCCCTTCAGTGTAAGGTCTCCTGTTTTCATCTTTGGATAATGCAGATTTTTAGAGGAATGTCTCTATAGAAGCCTAGTTCTTTCTTAGGAAAATAAATCTGGTATAATTTTACTGTTAAAAATAACAGAACGGGCCCTCCCTGGTGGCGCAGCGGGTTAAAACACTGCACGAAGAAGCTTAAGCCACTTCCGCTGCATGAGTTCGATCCCTGCCTGCCCCGGAGGAGATCCACATGGCGTGGCAGACCTCTCCTGACCCGCACGCTGCTCCCCTCAGCAGTGTACTTCGTTGATCTGCCTGTTCTGCTCCCCACTGTCTCTGGTGAAGCCTCTCGCCACCCCTTCACCTCTGGCCTGTACCCCAGTTCTGTATGAATAAATAAATAATAAAAAAATTGCCAAATGCAGTATCATAAAAGTTTAATTCTTTAAAAAGTAAACAATAATAACAGAGCAAAAATCATGCTGAGAATATTGGCCATACATGTCTGTACAATTTGACCTAATGTAGCACAGTTGTGGCAGAAAATGATTATTTTTTAATTTAGAAACAATAAAAAAACTGACATTCATTCTCTTTTAAGACTTCAATTCTAATCAGTATAAAAACTATGTCTATGTTAATAAATGTCAAACAATTTAGAATATAGAAATTGAAGATGAAGGCAATCGCCTGATATCACCTTTCTACACCTTTGTGCTCAGAGCCACACTCTGTTCGGGGTGTCACAAAGTCTGAGGGCATACTGCCAAATATGGTATGGCCCTTTTTATCAGGATACTTCGAGTCTAATATAATTGTGTTTTTTTTAAAAAAAAAAGATTTACTAATTTATGCATACAAGAACTGGAGTATAGGCCTGAGATGTGGGGGCTGAGAGGATCCACCAGAGACAGAGTGGGGAGTAGAAAAGGTAGGTTGAGGGGAGCAGTGTCCAGGTCAAGAGAGGTCTGCTACACCATGTGGGTCACCTTCTTGGCCAGGGATGGAACTCCTGCTGCAGTAGCTGCAGATAACTTCATAGTGCTGTGCTTTAACCCTTTGCGCCACCAGAGCAGGCCCTCATGTAATTGTTAACAAGCGATGTATGTAGTACTGTTTCATGGTGGAAGCAGCTGTGCGCTACAATGGAGAGTTTGGGCATTTCAACTGGGTAGGAGTAGAGGAGGTTGAGAAAGTTTAGAGAAACAGAATGATGACTGAGATGATATGAAGATGCTCCACATGATATAGGATCATGATTGGGGCATATTTAAGGGGCACGACAAGCAGACGGATATGTGAGAATAGTCACAGTGGCTTTTAACAACTTTGTGTTTTCAGACAGTGATAAGTCATGTTATGATGAAGGGATAGAGCTTGACAAGAGATAAGTCTGCTAGTTGAGAATCTCCTGTGTTTAATTGGGCCATTTTGATTCTATTCTATCTTGATTCTGCTCAGTAGGTAAAATGAGGTCAAGGAAGCATTTAAACAATAACATGATCGAATTTGTGTTAGTGGAAGATCATTTGGGCCACAATGAGGAAGACAGATTGAAAGGGTGTGAAACTAGGTGAAAATTATACCCAGATTTGGCTCTAGTCTACGCGTGAGATTAGGAGATCTGAGCTGAAATAGTAAGGGGATGAGGAGGCATCAGAGATGAAGAGGTTTGTAAGGGCAGAATTTAAAGACTTGGTGATTGGTGGACTGTCGAGGACAAGGAAAAGGAGAGCATGAGTGGACAGTTGTCCTCGGGCGTTGTGTGGAGGGCCTGCCATTTACTAAGATCAAAAGAACAAGGGGAATGGGAAAGAACATGAATTGCATTTGAGTTTGAGGTGATGTAAGAGAAGGAACCTGAAGTTGCAGCTGCCCAAAGGTATCTACATGTGCAGCCTGTGGGTTGGGGGAAGGATTCTGCACTGCACGTTTACAGGGCAATTATTGGTGTCCATGTAAGAGTTAAATGTAAGAATGAGTGAAGTGGCTGAGGAGGAGATGAAATGAAACAAAAGAACAGAGAAGTGTGGCAAGGGGGCTCCAGAAAGAGCTACAAAGATTGAAAGGTGAAATAGGGCCAGGAGGAGGAGGCATCTAGAAAACCAAGCTAAAGAAATGCACATATCACTGCTAATGAACAATGAATTTCTTTTTTTTTTTTAAAGATTTATTTATGCACACAGAATTGGGGTACAGGCCAGAGGTGCAGGGGTGGTGAGAGGATTCACCAGAGACAGAGTGGGGAGCAGAACAGGCGGACTGAATTAGTACACCGCTGAGGGGAGCAGCAGGCCAGTCAGGAGAGGTCTGAGCCATGTGGGTCAGCTCCGGGGCAAGGAATCAAATTTGCACTGAAGCAGCTGGGGCTAGCTTGCAGTGTTGTTCTTTAACCCAGTGCACCTCCAGGGTCAGCCCTGAACAGTTAATTTCTAAAATAGAAAAGCAATACATGTTTTAGAGAATCCAAGTGAGAAGCTGGATAAAAATGGACTGTTTAATAATAAGGTGGAAAATAGATTGCTGGTAAGGAAAGGAATTAATAGTTTAAAAGGAAAATAAACAATTTAAGTCATTTTTTTCTTCTCTCTTCTTTTGAGGAGACTAGTTGCAAAAAGAAAAGATAAAGAACATGAGTTACTATGGGGTTGAGTGCTTTTTAACTATTCTTGAAGTGTCGGAGTAAGCGCTTAATTGTAGTTTGAAAGCAGTATCCAGAGGACAATTTACAGGAATAGTAAGGCTGGAGGGCAAGAATGGATTAACTGATAGTTCAAAATTCCTGCTGGAGACTAAGTGCAATCCTATCAACACAATACAGAAGCTTACTTGGCTGAAAAAAAAAAATCCTTGGGGTCCTCCCTGGTGGTGCAGTGGGTTAAAGCACAGCACTAAGAAGCTAAAGCCACTTCAGCATGAGTCCGATTGCCGCCCCGGAGGTGGCCCACACGGCGTGGCAGACCTCTCCTGACCTGCCCGCTGCTCCCCTCAGCAGTGTACTTCTTCAGTCTGCCTGTTCTGCTCCCCACACTGTCTGGTGAAGCCTCTCACCACCCCTGCACTTCTGGCTAGTACCCCAGTTCTGTATGCATAAATAAATCTTAAAAAAAAAAATCCTTGAATGATAAATTCAGGTTCCACTTTCCCCTTTCCACTTTCACATCAATCATAATGTTCTTGAGTTTCCCCTAACTTTTTGGCTTCCTCCACTGTAGCATAAATCTTTACTGCAGAGTCGCGGCATAAATCACTGACAGTGGATTCCATGTGTTAAATGCACACTCAGGGCTACTGAGCATGACGAGGCAGACACGGAGGAGAATGGTTTTAGGCACTTAGAGAAGGGAAAGGAATAATTCAAATCAACACAAGAAAATATTATATGGTATTATTGACTACGTGTCAGAAATCAGATGGACATAGGAATAAAAATGTTACTGTGTTTATTCATCTGCATAGTTTTGAACAAAGTGACATTGAATCTGGCTCTATAAAGTGGAGACCAAGTTTTCCAGGCAGATGACAGGGGCTTTGGGGAGGCCTTTCCCAAAGCGAGGACCACATGTGGACAGATCAGAGCAAAACAGTTAAGACCCAGCCTGGTGCACAGGTAAGCGATGCAGGCTCTGTAACCTTTTGTGGTGTAGATATAAGAAGAGGATCCAGGAAAGTGGTATTTTCTCTACGTATACTTCATTATTCCTGCGGATGTTTATCTCATTCCTTGGTCTGTACACACCTTTTTCATGCCTCAGGAGACAGTTCTCCAAAAAGCAAAATCACAGGAAAACCAAGCCAAACTGAAGCCCCTCCCAGGCAGCTCATTTTTCTTACTTTAGGGCAGGGGTAGTCCCTAGGGAAAGACCTCATTACAATCAGGGGCACTTGGAATAAAATTCAGAAACATTAAACTCATAGTTAGAAAGAAAAATAACTAGGGGGGAAATCGTGTCAAAGAGAAAGGAACCTGAAATGTTTAATTCTGTAGTCTGTTCATCCTGGAAGCCTGGTATCCTTGGGACTGGCTCTGCCCACTGGGGTAACTCCCAGGGGCTCTGGTTGCCTGGATCTTTCTATAAAATAGCAGGGGACTGTGAGGAGGAATGAGGGATGGAGAAGGAAAGAAAGGTGTGAGGGGAAAGCAGGGGACTGTGAGGAGGAATGAGGGATGGAGAAGGAAAGAAAGGTGTGAGGGGAAAGTGAGGGGGAGGCAGAAGGGGAGAGAAGGATCTGCGCTATGCTGTCTGCCCTATGCTGACAGAAATATTGCTGGAAAGTCCATAGATGTTTAAAAATAGACCTGTAAAGTTTAGTTTTAGATAACCCTCTGTGCCGCTAAATATCACATCTTTTTCGGTAATATTCACTGGTCATAATTCCATCCTTCCTTCGTTCAAATATATTCCGTGCTTACGTGGCAGGCACACTATTTTCATTGTGGGGGTTATGTTCATGAGCAAAATAGACAAGATCACTGCTCTAGTGGCATGGATTGCTCAGGGGAAGGACACAGACAAAAACAAAATCTTTGAAAATGTTACTCCAATAATCTTATTTTTAAAAAATGCTGAAGTGGGGGCCCTCCCTGGTGGTGCAACGGGTTAAAACACAGCACTAAAGAAGCTAAAGCCACTTCAGCATGAGTTCGATCCCCACCCCGGAGGTGATCCACATGGCGCTGCAGACCTCTCCTGACCCGCCCTGCTCCCCTCAGCAATGTACTTCAGCTATCTGCCTGTTCTGCTCCCCACTCTGTCTCTGGTGAAGCCTCTCACCACCCCTACACCTCTGGCTAGTACCCCAGTTCTGTATGCATATATAAATCTTTTTAAAAAATGCTGAAGGGAAGGACCTGCTGAAGTTGACTCAAGGACTACCCAGGACGTGCCATTTCAGCTGACAGTGGGCAGGGAGGAAATTTATCCACCTGCAGGAACTGACGGGCACAGGCAGAGCTGACTCAAAGGTCACCCCTCACCAAAGATAAACAGAAACCACCGGAGAACACTTGATTGTGGGGAGGGTAGTTCTTTTGCCAGGAGATTCTGGGTTCTTTGCCTGCCACATGCAGGAAGCTGAAAAAGCAGAGAATAGGAATTGAATCTTTAATACACGCTTTTATTAGGTTAGGGCAATAATAATATTTTATTTATTCATTCATTAGACCGGCCTAATAATAATCTGAGAAAGGCCGCAGCATGATCCAAAGAAGAAGTTCTGCCGCTTCTAACTGGCGATTTTATAGTGAATTAAACAAAGACCCTTCATTACCAGTGATGGGAGTTTCACGCCAACTGGTTAACAACTTCTGGGAGTTTTATGGAGTCTCCCTGGTAGCTCGCTCTCCTCTGGAAGCACTCAGTATGACAGATAGGGTGTCCTTCACTCTTCCTGACACCTCATGTGAAGTTAATTCAGAGCAAACAGGTCACAGGTCAAACATTGGGGTGGGAAGGGGGAGGCAGAATCGCCAGGCAGGATGCCCCATTCACCCAGGCCCTAGCCCCTGGCCTCTCAGGTCATCAAGGGATAAGTCCACTAAGTTGGGTCAAGATGAAAAATATTTGTAGAATGTTAGACTAAGTGTGGTAAAGTTAATGGGAGTTTTTAAGGTAGGAAGAAGCAAAATCAAATATATAATTTTTTGAAAAGCAATTTCTTTGGATAAAACACTTAAATTTTTTAAAATTTTATTCTTAACATTGAATTTTATCCTTAATGTAAATCAAATCATTGACAATTTTATGTAGGAAATAATTATCAAGAGCAAAAAATTGACTTCTAAAAATGGATCAATTTCACAATTTTTCTTTAAAGATTTGTTTATTTATGCATATAGAACTGGGGTACAGGCCAGACGTGCAGGGGTGGTGAGAGGATTCACCAGAGACAGAGTGGGGAACAGAACAGGCTAATAGCCAAAATACACTGCTGAGCGGAGCAGGAGGCAGGTCAGGAGAGGTCTGCTGCGCCATGTGGATTATCTTCGGGGCAGGGATGGAACTCATGCTGACATGGCTTTAGCTTCTTAGTGCTGTGACTTAACCCGCTGCACCACCAGGGAAGGCCCTGAGCCACGATTTTAACTTACTTTCCATCACATGTTGTTTCAGAGGATAATCATCCATCCTACTTCCCATTTTGTACCTTCTTTGTCACTTCCCATCTCCCACTTGGGAGGAATGTCAAGCACGGACCTCTGTGCCTAGAATATATCACGCAGAGGACTTTACAAGGAAGGAAATGGATTTATGTGTTTTTAGTCTTTCTGTTTTAGAATCCCCTTAGGTTCCCATTAAACTGGAATTCACAGGTCACAAAAGGTTTGAAAATTATTTGAGCATTTTGCTCAGTTTCTAGATGCTTCCTGTACCTGGCAGAGTGACCGGGTTCACCTTGGCAGATCTGACAGGTCACCTAGATTGATAGATGCACTTTATCTAGGTGATGAGTTTGCTAATGACTCAGCAGAACCTCCCCAATTACTCACAGCATGGCCAACAGGATGCTGGCTACAGCTTTTTTTTTTTTTTTTTTTTTTTTTTTAATTAGAACTGGTGCAGAGTTGAGATAGCATAGATCCATCCTTGAGAAATTGATGACCATGTTTCTTTATCATCTGTTTTTGAAGAGACAGAAATCAAAGGCACTCACAAAATCCTTACCAAAAAGTGACTGTCAACCAAGAAATTCCCAAAAAGAAACAGCAGAATGATCATTTCTCATTATTGCTAACAGCTTTGCTTTTTAGAAAAACTTTGTACCAGAAAGTAGGGTGTGGTGGGGAAGGGTTGAGAGGCATCCCTTTGCCAAAAGTAACCAATCAATTCCCACTCTTCTCGGATGAGGTGAAAGATGACTTCTTGTTATGACATTTTTATGAGTCTTTTATAACATGGACTGCCACAAAAATAAGGCGTACAAATAAATCACAACTTGATTCAGGGCAAAGTGGGGGGAGAAAGGGTGTTAGAATGGATGGGCCTGAGAAAGACGAACTGTGCTGGGTGAGACTTGGCCCTGACCCCATCCTGATCCCCATGGTGATGTTTCTGAGGAAGAGGGAGGTTATCTGTCCCCTGATTACCATTGTCCTGCATAACGTGTTCCTTCCCAGAAACAGCTCCTTTTATGGGGTGCTGACATAGTTCCAAGAGGAAGAAGCAACCAAACCCTGCCTTTTTTTTTTTTTTTATTGTTGTTCTCTGCAGAGCCCAGGCCTCCCTCTTCAGCTTGGCGTCCAGCGGCTCTGGCCTTGTTGACCTTGTGCTTGGTGCTACTGACTGGCCTGGCCATCCTGGGGTTTGTGTGTAAGTCTATGCTCTGACCTGGGGGAGGATCCTGGTTCCAAGGTTTGTCTAGGATAAGAAACACTTGCTATGGATTCTTTTTTCTAGCTTTTATCCTGGAACCTGTGGATAATTCAGTGTGTTTGATTCTGATGCACCTATTTAAATGATGAATCCTGGAAGAAACATCAAAATTGATAGATTTTAACATTCTGTTTGAGATAAGAATTTTTTTATGTCAATTTTAGAATCAGCACTTCTTAGCGAAAGCGCACTTCAGCCGTTTTCTTTTTCACAGAAGTGTTACATCTGCAGTGGTTTTTGCTTAGTATATCTGACTGAGTTGGATATCATAGAGGGAAAAGATTTCATTTATATTCTTATATTCTACCTTCTCAGTAGAAAAACAGGCCAGGTCCTAAATCACTGGGATTTTTTTTTTTTTTTGAAAGCCCAGGAAGTTACAGAATCATTTTGCAAAACTTGCGTAAAGCACATGAGGAAAAATACCTATGCCAAAGTCTCAGCTTCGCTTTGAAGCAGGCAAGCTAACTTCTCTTGGGGTGCAAAAGAAATCATCCCATCCCCCTGTGCGTTAAAGTGTCATCAAGACGGCATCAAACAGGTTAGCAGAATGTAAACAGTCAATTTAATGACAAACGCATGAAGAACTTATATGACTGGAAATTCTAAAGAATAAAGGAGGAGACTAGAAATATTTGCCCTGCATTTGAGAACCTGGGGCTTCAAGGACAGAGGGAGAGACTTCACCTGACAGACAAGGCGGTGACCTCATCTTTACCATGAGAAGAAGGACAAGCTTTTTGGAGAGAACATGTTTACTGACAAGCCTGGACGAGTTTCCCAAAATGCCCTCTTCTAGGTCATCAATTCAGAAAAGGACAAGCATTTAAGGCAAAATGATCTCTCTGATTATAAAAGGTGGAGGTGAAGGACGTAGGCAAGAGCAGCAGCTTCTCCTGGAACCTCACTGCTCTCAACCCCAAAACAATCTGTATTCTGAAATGATGGTAAAAGACCTCCTGAAATGCACAGTCTGGATTGGCCCAAATTCGTTTCCAAACGAAGGTGTAAGAAGCCTCTCTGACCCTTTGGGGGAGAGTGACCCCACTGTTGATTGGGTAGAGATCCTATAGTCTTCTCCCTTAATACTGAAAAAGGGGTTCAAGGTAAAAGGTCACAAGGTCACACAGAGTAGATGTTAACCTTCATAAACTAGATTTTTATAGAAAATTTTATTTTGTGATCTTCACTTTTAAAGTATATATATATATATGTATGTATGTATGAATGTATGTATGTATGTGCATATATACACACATTCCTTAGTATTTCTACCCTAACCTCAAAAAACTGTTACTTCATTTTCATATAACTATTGTTTAGTAATCACAACTTTTTGGTATATAAGGCAATTCTCATGAACCACATGGATTTCTCTTTTAGATTTAGAAACCTGTTGTTTAAACCCAAGTTTTGAAATTTTTTAGCTAACTGATATTACAGAAGTTAATTGTCCTCACTGAGAACAATTGAAAATATGTATAAATACAAACATAAAAATGATATTATGACTATTTCAATGACAGAAGATAACAAAATATGGTACACCATCAATACTTAACAGAATGATCATTAGATAAATGGATGTATGGCTTTAGGTTGAGAAATAGTTTGGTAGATACACAAAAATTAACATTAAGTAAATACAGTTAAGGAGTTTATTTTTGCCATTAGAAACTTCATGATTCCACATTTTCAGCTCAGGAAACAGACTTATAGAAATTAATTTGTTCAAGGCAAAACAAGTTATTATTATGTACTAGATTCTAAACCTGAATATAAGCATATGAGATCGCAGACCTATTTTGTCTTCACCATGTGCAAAAATACAAATAGAAATAAAAATGAAAAATTAAGCTGTTTAGTCTGATTTGGTAACTCGGGTTAGTTTTTCAGTTCTACCAGCTCTCCAACACTCAGAAAAACAGCATTTCTCAAAAGGAAGAAAGATTGGGGAATCTCTCCAGACAGCTGCAATCCCTGCAAGTCCAGAACAGGAAGCTTGCAGAAACACTGCAACATGTAGCCGAAAAACTGTGTCGCGAGCTCTACAACAAAACTGGAGGTAAGTGAGTCCTCTCTACAGAGCTCTCCTTTGCCTCAGGACAATGCCAATATAGGGCTGGCTTCCCATCAGTATACCAGAGAATTCTATGACTAAATTGTCTGTCTGGAAAACTTTGTGGCTTGTGTATCCAGATTATCACAAGAAAGCAGGGTCAATATCAAGAATTTCTTGAGGGCCTCCCTGGTGGCCTAGGAGTTAAGTCTTAGCGTTATTGCTGCCATTGCCTGAGTTTGATCCCTGACCAGGGGTTAACCCACTTCTTGTACAGCAGGTGTCTGTCTCACCTGTTGCTTCCCTAGCAGTGTATTTCAGTCAATCTGCATTTCTGCTCCCCACTCTGTCCCTGGTGAATCCTCTCACCCCGCTCCCCATACCTCTAACCTATATTCCAGTTTGTCGATGCAAAAGTAAATGTAAAAAAAAATTAAAAAAGGAATTTCTTGAGATTCAGGTATTTTAAACAATAAAAACAATTAACTTTGAATATCAAAATAATAGTGCTGATCAATAAAATGCGAGGTTAATGACCTTTTTACTTGGCACACAGATGCCTAGAAGTAGCATACACTTCAAAATTTCTTTACAGATCTAGCCCCATTAAGCATAACTACAGATATCAAATTTTAAAAATCACATAGGTATCATGTTAAGATGCAGGTAAACTGAATCAAATTCCAGTTATTTCCATGTCATATGACTTGTCTGCATACCAAAAATCTGCATTTGATAAGGATCACCAATGATGCCAATGCCAGGTGAAGATAAACCATGATTCAAGCTCTGAGACAAGACTAGAAGAAGCACTTCAATACTATGTTGTCCCATTGTTGTATTTTTGTTTGGGCAACTCTACCCAAGACAGCTTTCTGTTCTGTTCTTTACATCATGCATACATAGGAAGCAACACACATTTCCAAGTCTCCACTTTTAATTCATCTGTTAGGGACTCTAAAGTAGGTTGACATCTTGTTATCTTCCATACAGGCCCCACTTCCCACCATGCCCAGCCGTACTGGTTGCATGGTTACCCCAAAAATAACATCAGTAAATACCCTCCTACTTCTCGAAGGGATTCCTTCCCACAAGACTCATAAATCTCCTTGCTCACAAGTTTCAGTCTTTCTTTTTTTGGTAAATTTTGCTGAAAAGTAACTGACAAACCTAGTTGCATACATTCACTGAGTACAATATGATTTCATGAATATATATATTGTGAAATTATTGCCAAGATCAAGGTAATAAACATCTGCCATGACACATGATGAACTCCTCCTTTTCTTCTGATTGTCCTTATTTTCTTCTATATAACTGTAACTTCCTACATTGGGTCCATGTCATCCAAAGATAATACAATTTTTTTCTGAAACTAGTTGTCTCTGAAATTTACATCTAGCTGTATAAAAATAGATGAGAACTTATACAAATAAATTGGGTTTTGTGATTTGGCTTCTCTTTTGAGAAAGGTGACAAGGCATTACAAAGTCTTAAACCTAAGTACCTGTTGACATGAGGCTTTAAAGCTTCACTCTGTAAATATGTTGAAGAGGGAACAATAGAAACAGAAATCATGTAAGAAATGGTTGTTGCAGTAATCAGGATAGAGATGATGCAACCTTAAAATAGGACGTTATAAGTGGAGTTAAATGTGCAATGGGAAAAAATGAGGTGTGAGAAAAATAAAGGAGTCCATGATGGCTCCAGAGATTTTGGGCAAAGCTTCTAGAGGCACAGAGGTGGATCAAATGAAAGGGAGAAGAAGGAACCAAGGGAGGCTTGTTGGGGCATGATGAATTTGAACTAGAATTCAGATGTTCAGATGGAGAGCTGAGTAAGCAGTTGGCTACTTTAGAATCTGCTCTGGGCTAAAGATATAAAATGAATTAAAAAATAAAACCTCCTCAATTTTCACTTAGTTAAACCTTCATTTTAACTTACGACATATTTCAGATACACAGAAAAATACAAACAGTAATATACTTACTTGTGTCTTGACCACTCATATTTCGGCATGTTAATACTTTGACAATGGATTTTTTTTTTTTAAAGAAAGTCATTTATTATGGATACAATTGTGTTACCTTCCCACTATACCCACCAGGGGCCTGGTTTCTGATCCCTAGCTCTCAGAGGCCCAAGGTCATGTGGCCACTTAATTCATTGCTGTTAAAGCCATAACTCTTAGTTCCTATATTTATAACAATTACTTGGACAGTCTGTCTCATCCTTGTCTATGCACTTACTTCTCTTCCCTTGACATCCATCTTCACTCTGATGCAAATAGATTTGCCATTCCAATCCATGCATAACTTAATAGTTATGCAATTTTTCCTAAAATTTTACTTACTTACATTTAGAATGAACTATTGGCATATGTTACCTTTTAATAACCTTTTCAGAGGTATGTAAGAGGATTTTGAGACAAAAAATTATGAATTGTTTCATAAATACAATGCATAATGAGTTTCTGAACAAATGAAAAGTTCTTTATGAAACTGAATTTCTTTCCATATGCTAAATTACATGGATAAGAAGCAGGGAAGTTCTAATCATTCATCACTACACTCCAATGTCCATAAAAGTGGGTAGTATCTGATTCAATTTCTAACATATAGTATCTGATTCAATTTCTAACATATATGTAGCACCAATTATAATTCCTGGCATATGGTAGTTGTCCAGTAGATATTTGTAGTTACCACTGCTGAGACAATTAAATAGCTACAAGAAACAGAATCAATTACTTCTTGGGTAGTCAAATATGATATAAATTTTAAGAGAGGACAAACTGAAGACTTGCATAAAATATAACTTATTAGGGCCCTCCCTGGTGGTGCAGGGATTAAAGCACAACACTGAGAAGCTAAAGTCACTTCCGCGTGAGTTCGATCCCTGCCTGCCCCGGGGGTGACCCACATGGCGCAGCAGACCTCTCCTGACCTTCCCACCTGCTGCTCCCCTCAGCAGTGTACTTCATCAGTTGGCCTATTCTGCTCCCCACTCTGTCTCTGGTGAATCCTCTCACTGCTCCTGCACCTCTGACCTGCACCCCAGTTCTGTATGTACAAATAAATAAATCTTTAAAAAAAAATTAAAAAAAAATAACTCATTAAAATTGGTTTCTTTCCAAGAACACAAATGCAGCCCTTGCCCAGATTCATGGAAATGGCATGGGGACAAATGCTACCAATTCTCTAAAGAGAGCAAGAGTTGGCAAGGTTGTGAATATTTCTGTTTCGCTGAGAACTCGACCATGCTGAAGATAAATACGCAAGAAGCGCTGGTAAGGTTCTGAAGCTTGGTCACAGTCCTCTCACAAAGAGGTCTTTCCAACAGCTATACAAGAATATTCGGAACAGTCAAGTCTCCCACTAATTACAATCAAGACTTTAGTGTCCTGTTGCTTTGCAGGGGCGCCTAGATATATAGAGTTCTATTCTCCATAAATACTAACCCCATAGAAATGTGAGAAAAACTCCTCAAACACACCATCACTCAGGAATCAAATGAAGATTATCTTCATTTCTTACCTCTTTTGGATCAGGCAAGAAAGGAACCATCTGGTTGCAATATCAGAAAGAAGAAAATGGCGCACCCTGCTATTTCACTGTAAAAGTGACAAAAGTTAACATTTAATTAAATTGTTATTATATCTACAAATATATATCTGACCTTCTAGAAATGTACAATCTAACATAGATCAGTCAAGGCAAATATGAAAACATAAATAAAACTATAAATCTCATGTATTGTATAAGTACATACAAGTACAGTACACTATTAATGTGTTCCTCTTTCTCTTGCATCTATTATTCTTCAAGCAATATGACCAGTGTTTCTTTATTATTGTGTTAGTAGAGGTTTTGGCACAGCATAGATTATCAGCAAAAGATTAATTGAAATAGAAGCTCACTTAACTATGAAAATTCTTAACCTCCTTCTAGTTACATCTTAATTTCTACCTACTCGCAGAATTCGTGATGAACAGTTGAACAGTCTTTATAGTTACCGTCATCTACTAAAAAAGTATCTTTTCATCTTTTCCTAAAGACTCAATTTACAGAAAAGGAGGCTTTTTTTTTTTGACTATGAAAATGTATCCTAGCATAAGTCCTGCTCAATGCTCTTGCTGTGTTTCCTCTAATTCTTGAGGGCTCGGGTTTATAACTGAGCTACACTATATTAAGTTGCAGGAAATATTATAAAAGTTACATAACCTCATGTACTTCATATTTACATTTATTTAAAACATCTTCATGTGATTTATTTGCATTCAAATTTTTCCTCTGAAAGTCCAGCTTTCCATTGGAAACAATGTTTTCAAATCTATTTCTTTTGACCTGCCTACTATCTGATGACCAGAGCAATGATTTCATTTGTATTTCCAATAATTTATTATAAGACCAATATATGCCAACAATTAGAGTTGAAAATATACAAATGAGTAAAAACAAGTCGATGTTCTTTAGGAACTCATAGTACAGTGGAAAGTTATAAAAATGGATAAGTACAATAAATCTAATTTCTCTGTTAATGAGGATGAAATTAAGTAGTAGGAAGTAGTTTTTAAATAGGCAGCCAAATGGATTCATTCACAAATAACAACCAGAAAAGCACTCAGGAATTGCAGTCTCACAGTAAAACACACACACACACACACACACACACACACACACACACACTTACCCAGACTGAGAGGAAACTAATATATGTTTTAGAGGAAGGGGCTGTCCTAGACAAAAAGTCCTTTGGAGGAAAATTGAAGTGTGGTGGCTTCTCATTGGCTGGGTCATGGTAATCTCTCATTGGCTGAGCTGTTGCTAGGCAAAAAGGAGTCTCCTCCTTCCAGATTGAGTTCAGGGCTTTGCTCTTCTGGCTGCAGTGTGTGTGTGTGCACTGATTATGTATGTATGAGACTGCTTTTCTAGCCTCCTGACCTCATTTAAGTAAGGTTTCTATACATTCATTTTCACAGATTATTACAAAAAGACACATCGCATATATAATATAGGTGTGTATAATGTACAAAATAAATATGAAAAGTGTCTCTTTTCTTCCTACTTTGGGACAACAGTCATGGTCCCACGTTCTTCTTTTGCCTCTTCGTTGCATTCAAGTACATTCGCATTCTCTTCTCTTTCTCGGTCTGTCTTTTCACAGACAAAGGTTACATCCCTGTTCCTTCACTTTTCCTTCTTATTCATTTTCCAACATTACTTCATATCTCTTTGTCAGTCTGTCTTCCAGATTTTTTTTTGTATCAATCTTTGTGTTTAATATTGTGACTTTAAAAATAATGAGCCATATATAAATCTTATTTGATGTGGTCTCTTTTTAAGTAAATACAATATCTTAAAGTCAAAGTAACAATGCATTCTAAAATAAATTTCGAGTATGTGCAATGTTGCACTTGGTTTCAGAATATCAGTATCTAGTCCATGCTTACCAAGATAAAATAGGTCCTTTAACTGGAACAAATTAGTTAAGCTCAGCAAAAGTGCCTTTCTCTTAGTATATTCATGGATGGAGGCAGAACTCATGTAACTGAGTCAGTTCCATCCATGTAATTGCTTTCATGTAATTGCTTTCACTATTGGCCCGCCTCATTCATCTTTGTGTGTTTGTGTGTTTGTGTAAATGTCTGTGTATATTTATACACACACATGATTCTTTTAAATAATATATCTAGTAATATAAATAACAATATATACACATATATGAATACACACACATATGAAATCAGGGCATTGCTATGCTGGTTGCTGTGACAACTCTAAAGCTAAAGGTTTTCTTATGCACCTTTCACAGGACCTTGCCCTACCTCAGAGCTACTCTGAGTTCTTCTACTCTTACTGGACCGGGCTATCCCGCAATGGCAGTGGCAAAGCCTGGCTGTGGGTGGATGGAGCCCCCTACTCTCCCGAACTGTAAGCCTTCAGAACATTTTATGGGAAAGACATTCAACAGAGAGGTTTTGCTTGATTGACAGACTTCAGCAATTTGGTTCAACAAGCGTTGACCAAATATCGGCTTTGTATTGGATACTCTATTGAAGGAGATCCATCCAAAAGATGGGTAAAACATGGTGCCTGTTCTTGAGTGACTTATGGACCAATGAGAAAAGCAGATACAGAAGGTTAGCTTAATATGTAGGGATAGTTCTCTGTTGGGCTGCTTTCTGAAATGTTGATTTATTGAAGGGCCTGAAGTCTCTCAGCATAATTGCCAGAAAGAGGGTTGGGCAGGGGTGGTGGGGGGCTGAGAGGGGGGAAGAGGGAGGAGAGAATAGAGAGGAGAAAAAGGCGAGCAAGAGAAACTGTTGTACTGTTGACTGTTTAATGTCCCACCACAATCTGTTGTACCTGGAGATAGTATAATCCTTCATATTTCTTGGCTTTCTGTGCAATGAAATGGGGAGCAGCTCCTTAAAAATACAGCCTCTGAGAATACATTTGTTGATGATATAAACAGTAATATTACCACCATTTAGTCTCACGTGAGCATTTAGAAAGGAGTATGCATGGTTATACTTCTTTGAAAGAGGTGAATGTGAATTCACCTCTAAATCTATTTAAAAAAAATAGATGATAACTTAAAATCATGTTTGCCATTCTCAATACACCATGCAGGATTTATTCTCCATGAAGACAGGGCAGGTTCAATGTATCAATGTAATAGTGTTAAATTTTATCCTTAAATACTTGGAGTCCTAGGGAAGGGGCATAAGTTTTCAGTAAACTCATGATAAATTTAGGTTATAATTAGTGTCTTCATTTTTATTATGAATAGCTTTTATTCTTTTGGTTGACCTGCCGGAATTTAAGGGTCCGAAGGGACTTGGTCTTCATCTCTCTAGGAACCTCAATAATTTGGGGATCTTTTCTATAACTTCACCCAGTTAGGTTTCCCCTCTCCACCCACATCCCCCCCATGCTTTTTGTGTGCTTAAATTTTTATTTTAAAAATAATCAGTGACTAATTTAACTTCTTTTCTCCATTTTAAAGGTTTGAGGTTATAATTGATTTCGCCAGCCTGAGAAACAGAGACTGTGTGACCATCCTCAATGGAAAGGCTTTTTCAAAAGACTGCAAAGAGTTGAGGAGATGTGCGTGTGAGCGGGCGGCAGCTATGGTGAAGCTTGAGAGGCTCCGTTAACCCGTCTGAGCCATTCCATGAAGTGCCACACTCAGCGGCTGCAACTACAAACTTAAGCTCCCTTCAGAGAAACTGATGACCGACACATGTCAATCTCTTAGTTGCACCTGTAATGGTTTGACTTCAGTTCCCATTTTCTCACATTTGCTCCATATTTATACAACAACTCAGGAGTCAATGCAAGGGATATTTGAGCCAGTGGGAAATGGGAAAATAATCCGGAAAGGCAAGGTCTGTGATTGCTACAAGACTTTCCATGTTTCCTGTACAGGATCACAATCACTTCTGAGCTTGGATGTCAGCATATAATTCCCAGTCATATGGAAATCTTATTTATGTACCTCCAACCAAACTCAGACACCCAGATTTATAACCCACCTTCTTGGTTTAGAGATAACTTTCTAATGTCCTCCTCAGCATATACTATGACCTCCCTATTTCCATGTCTCCTTTAACATTTGGAGACGTGAGACTCTTACTAAAATAGAGGAAATAAATGTAACAACTTTTGCCTCAATACCCAAGTAGTTCTTGAGAATTCAGCAATCACTCCCCACACTGTGCTAGGAAATACACAACTACTTCTTTTTACTTGCCTCGATGTATACCTTTTCCTTCCCAGAGCCTCAAGAAAGTTCTCATCGTCTATGGTCATTACCTGCTTCCTGTTGAAACAGTCCCCTTTATTGGCATCTGAACTTCTTACAGTGTACTTCCTCGGTGTCAATTTAAGACTGGAGTGGTTGTCTCCTTCGTCTAGGAATCTCTCCCAGAAAAGACATTTTCTCAATTCATCTCCATAGCAGAATTAACATCCCTCATATTCCTCTCAGAAGAAGACAAAAACAAAGTCAGTTTCTTTTCGTCCACTATGTTTAGTTTCCATTTGTATTTTCTTCCATCTGATTTATGTATAGATTTTGCAGGTACTGAATATTTAATAATAATACATATGAATAAATAATGTAAATTATGTGATTTTAGAATGGATTTTTGATTTGGGGGAAAACTTAGCATGGAGATGTGCTTCAAACTATAACAATAAGAATTTTAATTAGTTGAGCCTGAGAGTTTATGACAACTAGTGCTAGTTGTTTATTTCAGAAAAACAAGAAATCGTTGAGAGGCATCTTCAAAGCATCTCTGTTTTTTAATAATTTCCTAAAATAAAATCCTTTGAGACAAGTTTATGTCATCAACACATGGCTAAGGAAGAGTAAACCGATTTGCAATTGGGCAAGTTATCCAATCAGGCTGTGGAGAAGCAAAAGACTGTGACATCCAGGGATAAAGCTGGTGTCTAGACATATCTTTCTCAGAATTCCAAGACGCATAAAGTTAAAAGCAATGGCAAACACCATCAGATTGCTGGAATTCATTGGTTTAGAGACAAATCAATATTAAAGTATGTAAAAATGGGGAGAAAGGACTTAGTGATTCAGTTTTAAAATTAAGGAGCATCAACAGGTCTAAACAGACTAATTTGGAAATATGAATTTATGTACACATTGTCAAAAACCACTGACGTCAGGGCATTGTGGATTTTACTAAATATTTCCCATAATAGGTGCAAATAGTTAATACATGTGGTTAATATAATAAGCACATATGAAATATGAATTAAGCCTTTAGCTAAGCAATTGTTATTTAAGCTTATTATTTTTGCAGAAAGAAAATATCACTACTATGGAAAAAGTCAAATGACTTTGCAGACTAAGTTGTAAAATAGGTGTAACCAGGTATTCCCTAAGCAAGGGTGGGAGTGGCCAGGGAGGTGACTCTAGAAGACTGAGAGAAGGACAGAGAGAGGGGAGAAGACCTGGCTGAGGAGAAGTGGAGACACAGTGGGAAAGACGAGACCAAGAGGAAAGCCCGGAGGAGTCACGTGGAGTGGAAAGACCTGTGAAGAAGAAGCACTGGCTTCTCAGCCTCTGACTTATACCAAGGACAAGTCAAGTTAAGATAAGACTTGAAAGAGACAGAGACGTGAGTGAGAGACCTGTGGGGAGGCTGAAAATGGCAGCCTTTATTCTGACTTGGGTTGTGATTTTTCTCCTTCCTTTCCAGACTTGCCTGTCTCCTTCTGCTTCATTTCTACGGATCCCCCCACCAGAAGGTGTCTTAGACTTGTGGCAGGCTTTTGAATCCACCCTGTTTGACTGGGCATTTACCCATGATGGGGTGGGTAACTTCAGTGCTTGATTTGGAAACTGGATTCGTTCTCTTCCTTTTATTGCACACTAATTGTATTAAAGTTTTCCATGAAGGTCTTATGCACTAAAGTATATTTTGTATTGATGTAGTGGATGATAAAATCATTTCGAATGCACAGGTGAGGAGGTCCCTGGGTGGCCCTGGCCCTGCCCTGTAATAAAAGGACTCCTTATCTTAACCCCCAGCATCCTACATAATTGCAACCTAGCTCAAGAATAGAAAATAAGTGTCTTTAAATGCCATTGCTTTGCCACCTGAAGAGAGGGTGTTCAGTAATATGCTCTCCTTGTGTACAACCAAAGCAAACAATGATGAAAAAGCAAACATTTGCATTTACTTGACATGTTTGTTTTTCCCAAAAATAGGCATCTCCATCTTTGCCCCCAACTCCACACCTGCCTAAGGAAACCCACAACCCTCATCAAATATGAGTCAACACTTAAAAGAACGAAGAGGCAGTGAGACTTTTTTAAACTTCAGAAATAGGGAATAATCATAACATGAACCTGAAAATATGGTTCGCTGAGAAAAAAAATTACCATGGAGAATCAGAGCTCAGCACCCCGGCACTGGTTTTCTGGCATGAGAAGAATTTTTTTCTTTTATGTTCCTGTGTGCTTAAGTAATTCTGAAGAAACTGAAGGGAAAGTCAAGTGAGGAACTTGGTCTTTCCTGGTGGAGCCAGCTCCCCAGGGCACACAATGAGCTAGTTCTTTTCCTGAGGATATTGGATCAGCTCTTAAAACTTATCAACAGGAAGCAGGTCGTGAGCTTTTAACAGCAGGAAGTAGGAGAAGCCCAAAGTGGGCTTGACTTGGGGGACAATGGCAGATCATGTAGCAAGCAGAAGAGTCTGGTCGTAGGTTGTCTCAGAAATGGTCTTAATATTTGGGATTCTGATACTTTGTGACTAGATTCCTGTAGTTGTTGGCATATGCAAAAAGCCACATCAACTGGCCTAAAGTGTCCATGACTTTCTTTATAAGGCTTGTGGCACTAATACATGTTTAGACTCTCTTAATATTAGTATTTGACTCAGATTACTATCCTGTTGTTTTTATTTTACTTGTTTAATGCACTTTGACCATCCTGTATAACAGTGTCTTTACAGTGACAGGACAGTGCTTTCTTTTATTTTCCACTTTCCAAAGCTGTCTTGGGACCCCGTGAATTACAGCAGACACCCAATTCATTGCTGGTGAGACTGAAGATGCAAAGCTGGTGACCCCAGTGCTAAGGCCCGATCTCTCACCGCTGCCTTGAAAAGACCCTCGTATCCCAGGTCAAATGCAATCTGCAGAAAAACAAAAAAACTTACACACCAAATTTCTATATGGAACGCAACATTGCCACTGAGGAAATTCAGTGGAGCTTAGGCCAGCTGCTATATAGATAAAATTCTGATTTGTAAATACTGCATAGTACACTGGTGTGGTGACCTCAGTGGGAGGATGTTTGCTTTATGTTTCATTGTGTTTTTCTAAAAAGAGTTATTATATGCTTCCTATTCTCTCTCTAAACATAGCTCCATGACAATACTTTGAAGAATCATGAAGACAATCAGTCTTTACTACTAAAAGTTGCCATTGTTCTCCTGTATTCCAGGTGATTATATTCAGCTGCCAGCTGCCAGCTGTGAAACCAAATGCAGGAGACACACACAGGCCCTTTCTTCATTAGTCTCCTATTCTAGGGCAGCAGAAAACAAGAGAACATCCCTTGTAGCGAAATTCCCAAATTTAAGCTCAAAGTTTAAAACACACACACACACACACTTCCCAGTCTTAAATAATTTTATCCTGCAAAGGTTACCTTTTTAACAATAGACTTTTAGTTTCTTTTAAACAACTTCCATTGTCTGGGTGGATTAGATTTTACTGAATGCTTATTTATTTAAGTAGTGTCTTCCTTATAAGGAAAGAAGGCCCAAATCCTTCTTCTTGAATGAAGGATTACTCTTTGAAAGAAATAAAAAATTGAAATAAAATGATATTGACTAGAGCAAATATTTGATGAGAGTTTAGTAGAAGGTGTTGCAGGATTTATAAGAGAGTGGAGTGGCAGAATAGTCCTGTGATAATTTTGTGAATTTTCCTTCTTCAGATTATGCAAGAGGCTCTCCTGTCCCCCAAGTCTGGGGAACAAGCCCATCCATGTGCATGGGGTCTGTGGACCGAGACTCAACTGGCAATAGATTTATTTGAGGGAGATTCTTTAACTCTAAACAGATATCCTCTCCAGACAGTGGCTGACATTTTACATATAACTTGATGTCTCCCTGTTCCTGTAACATGACCAGAAGGAAGCAATAGGTGGGTGGCTAGAGATGACGGGTGATTAATTGCAGACCACAGCAGTAAGCACTATGGAGTGGTCTGACTATTCGCTGCACTTGCCTCAGCAATTTACATAAATGAATGGCTTAATTCTCAAAAAAAAAAAAGATTTTGAAGTATGTTCTATTTTACCACAAGGAAGTTGAGACAGAGAAATGCAGTTAAAAATGCAGGAATGGGGCCCTCCCTAGTGGCATAATGGGTTAAAGCACAGCACGATGAAGCTATACAAAGCCACTGCAGCATGAGTTGGATCCCCAGCTAGGGAGGTGATCCACATGCTGCAGCTGACCTCTCCTGACCTGCTCACTGGCCCCTCGGCAGTGTACTTAGTCCATCTGCCTGTTCTGCTTCCCCACTCTGTCTCTGGTGAATCCTCTCACCACCCCTGCACCTCTGGCCTGTATCCCGGTTCTGTATGTGTCAATAAATCAATCTTTAAAAAATTAAAAAATAGGGGGCCCTCCCTGGTGGCGCAGCGGGTTAAAGCACTGCACTAAGAAGCTGAAACCACTTCTGCATGAGTTCGATTCCCGCCTGCCCCAGAGATGACCACATGGTGTGGCAGAACTCTCCTGACCCACCCACTGCTCCCCTCAGCAGTGTACTTCATTGATCTGCCTGTTCTGCTCCCCACTCTGTCTCTGGGGAAGTCTTTCGCCACCCCTGAGCCTCTGGCCTGTACCCCAGTTCTGTATGCACAAATAAATAAATCCTTAAAAAAAATTAAAAAATAAATAAAAATTGAAAAAATACAGGAATGTTAACAGTAAGAGCTCAGACCAGGAGGGCTGTAATTTGTGAGGTGGGATAAGCAGCGAGAGGAGTAGAGAAGCACCACAGCTTATCCTCAGTGGGACTCTCACTGCCCGGCAGCCTGCCTCTTCATCTATGGGGAAATAGTGGGGGTAAGGTGAAGGCAGGCAGACAAAATTCCCCCAACCCATCTAGGTTCTTCTAAGCCCTACTGGAGCACCAAATTAACAATAAATTAATTAACAAATTAGTAGGAGGAAAGGCCAAAATTTAGTAACACAACACAACACAACAAAAACAGACAATTATGAACCAGAGATATCCTACAGGGGAGCGGGACAGAGAGGGATAGGAAAGAGGAAGGGAGGGGTGTGGAGACTCTGGTGATGACAAGTGGTGGAAGTGGAGGAGAAGTAAACATTGTTTTAAAATGAACAATGAACAATAACGTAAATAGATACACAAATTAAGAAAAAAAAACAAAATTAGTAACACAAGTGCAGAATTGCAAAGTTATAAATTCTAAAAGACAATGGAGCAAGATCAGGGATATTAATTTTGTGTTTGGGGACCCGGGGCTTCAAGAACAGGGGTGACCTCATCCATATCAAGAAAGCAGAGTCTCAGACAGTCAGAACATGTTCACTGATAAATCTACACCTGAATGATGCTCCCCCAGCTACATTCTCTCACTGAGGATGGGGAACAGCCATTGCTTCTTCCACTAGGTAGAAAAGCAAGGAACAAAAATTTCTTTCACTGATTATTTAATGCTCTAACATTAAAAAAAAAAAAAAAAGACACCCCTGCATTCTTTAAGTAATAGTAACAGACTTCTAAGGCTCACAGGGTCTTGGTTGACTTTCAACTCCTATGGAGGGCACAAGTACCCTACTTGGTGCACACTGAGAAAAGCCTCTGTGACCCTGTGGGGGGCTTGACCCCACACCCAGATCGCTGGTCCTTCATCAACCCAGTACAACTCTGCAGCCCTAACAAGGATGTTTCCCTCCAGGCTGAGCACAGCAGCCTTCTTCCAACTTGAGAATCCATATCCCATGCTTCCCATCTATGAGTAAGATAATACCGTGCCTGGAAGCTTAGAAAATGTACAGAGATCATGCAGAAGGTCATATTTATTTGTTAAAAAAATGCAGCATCACATACTGGTTGTACATCGTCTGCCTAGCAACCTAGAGAGTCCTGTGTGCAGTTGTAGCCATTCTGGAAGACAGAGGAGAACAGAGGAGGGAGAGAAATAGAGGAGGAAGTGGAGGGAAGGAGAGGATGGGGAGGAAAGAAGAGGAAGAGGAGGAGGAGGAAGCCTGAGGGGGGGGGTTGAAAGGGGGGGAGGGAGGAAGGACAAGTGGAAACGCTTTTTCTTCATTTCTCCGTTCTTCAGGATGTTATCATCTGTAGCTCTAAGTCAGTGTTATTCTTGGCAATTTAAACAAAGTCAAATGACTATCTAGAGAGTACTGAAGAATATTCTCAAGCATATACGTAAAAGTCAGCTCTGAGTCCCAGGGAGCCAGTTCATAGCGCTCATGTCGACTTTCAACTCCATTTGCTGGTTGGCATGTTGTGGCAGGTTTTCCAGTGGCCTCTTCCAGATACCACTGTAACAGCCACGGCTTTGAGCATGATTTCTTTCAGACACAAGCTCTTAAAGCATATTTCTCACAGACAAAGTGTTTCTACCTGGTGCAGTTACTGGAAAGGAGGAACTTGTCTTTGAGGTACCCACAAACCCAGTTAGGTGATTGGGGTTTCCTCTTTGGCAACCTAGAGAGGCCGTTCAGTAGATCTGAGGTTAGGTGGGGGTTTTGATGATGTCCTTGTGGGGTTGCGAAACCAAGGTGTGATATTTTTGGTTTGGTTTTGTTTTAATATGGCGCCCCCTTGTGGTAGACCTACTTCATCCATAAACGCTGTTCCATCTCATTAAAAATATTTTAACAGAATTTCAACAAATACTATATATTTTTTAAATACTGACTCTTAATTTTCTATGTGCTGAACCTGCTCATCAACCTCCCCATTTCTATCTGAAAAGCTTAATGTGGAAATTGCTTAAAATTAGTATAATCTCTTTGCTCTAACGGATACAAAGGGAATGTACTTACTAATTTCATTATAGTGTTCATTCAGACTCAAATTCTGATGAAACTATGCTAAAGGGGAATGGCAGGAAGACTAGGAAAGAAGAAGTGTTTGTAGTGATTAGCTACTCTCTCTTTTAAGGGGATATTAGATAGGAATACTGTGTAGGTTCCAATATACATTTTCTTCTTCTTTTTTTAGCAGCTCTAATAAAACTTTTATATATATATATATATAGATATTTTTTCCAATATTACTTTTTCTTTTCACACCCACCCTCAAAATCTAATCACCATCAACCACTAACTAACCACTTGGCTCCCTCTATTATTCAAATCTTCATCTACTGTGAAATGACTCCAGCTTTGATTGCATTCAGGAGGGTGAGAAATTATCACACAAGTAACACCTGGGAGAAATCTAAGGAATGGAAGAAAATGAGCTTTTGAGTTCCTCATGTTTCTAAGTTTTCATATAGCTTTTCCTTCAATGACTTACTGGTCAGGGAAAGGAGAGGAGCCACAGCCAAGGTAGGTTGAGTTCATCATGAGATAGTCTGACCCAGTAATCCAAGTCAGGTTTGATCTGCTGAAGCCTGTGAGTAACAAAGTCCTATGAGAAATAAAACCCGAGGGTGAAAGTGTTACCTTGCTGTTCTCTCCCTGGTACTGCTGGGAGTTGTAGTTTCCAATCACTGAAGTAGAGGGTAGAGTCCAGAAAGCTGGAGTAAGGGGTGGAGTCCACAAGACTCTGCAGTTTTTCTTGAGGACATCCTTCCCCTTAACAAAAGGAGGAAAAGCAACAGCGACAAACTACTGGGAAATATAAAGTTTAGCATTTTGCCTTCACAAATCAATGAGAGCTGAGGGGGTGGTAGTGGTATGTTTACAAAGGGGTACATTTTATAGACCTTTTCCCTATTGATAAATGACCAATGCAGTCATTTTCCATAGTTCGATGAGAAAAATTGGCATGTGGTATTAGAATAGTTTTAAGAGATTCCGAATTTGGCAGATAGCCTATGTCAAAAAAGGCAGTGTTATGTTGAACCCTCGTTCTTGTGAAAAATACAAATATCTTTGATATCATAGGCCATCTAGATCATTTTCATGTATCTTTCCAAATGATAAATAGTTTAGGAGATTCCAGAAGCAACTGCACTGGAGGAATATTTTTTGGAAGATATATTTCTACCTTTTATTATCAAATTTGCACAGGAAGAATAGTATAAAACTATAATTGCAATAGGTTAGTTCAATTGCCCTATTTTACTGCAGTTAACAAATTGTTCCATTCTTATAAAATGAACTTCAACTAATTAATGGCAATGGCATGCATTTTTAATAAGGTCAGATGTAATTATTATGCACTGCCTTAACACTTGTTTAAGGGTACAAAAGATTTCAGGGAAACATCTTACTGTTGACTTGTTAAGGTGCCAGTCAATTAGAGATTTAATGTCAATTAAACATTCATTTGTAAATGTGTATTGTTTATAGACCTTTTCACTTCATGACATCAACTTTTTATATTTCTGCTTTTCCTTGAGAGTTACAAAATTAACATAGTTACTGCAATTCCTTATAACACTGAAAATAATGTATTGAAAACATATATACATGAATAATGAATATCTTGGAATCGATTAGTACATTATACAACAGTATTTCACTTAGCTTCTCCCTCTTTTGGTTAGCATAAAGGGGAACAATATGTTCTTGATTTATTCCATTCTCTTAACATATAAGTGATATTTTCAGAATGATATCAAGCCATGAAACAGTGTTTACCATGTCTGTCTCACCCTTTATTTGTAGAAGCTCAGTGTCCTCCTTCTGACAGTGACCTATGCTTTCATTCCACATTTGATTATATTCAAAGACACGGTAACAACGTTCTGCATTATGAATGCAGGTGTCTGGGCAAGGAATATGGTTATGGTCTTCGAATAGGAACATTTTACTTTATTATTGTCTTTGTAAAAAGATTAATAGCGCATTTCTTCACAAGAACGCCCACGGCCACCCCCAATGAACCCATCATCCAACCAAAGTGCTCACCTGATGTAGAGTTTACCAGTTTCAGCGTCTCTGACACTGACTGTGGTAAGATTAATATAATTATTTTCAACTGTAGTAGGCATCTAGTTTAAGGTAAGGTTATTTGGAAATATCTTCTCCCAACTCATTCCTCTTCTATAATAACAATTCTGATCATTCTGGTTTTATAAATCTTTTCTTTAAGCTTATATAATTTATTGTCCACACTTGTTTATTGCTTCTTGTTTGTTATAATTTTATTGAACAAATTTAGTTTTAAATTTTATTCTAAACATTTTTTATTTTAACTTTTGAGATTCTTAGCTTTTCCATATATGCACGACTCACTTTTTCATCACCAAAATATCTAAATACGATTGAGCTAAAGAATAGATCAATATTAGGTATCTCTCATTATAGGATCCTGACTGCCATGTTGCAGAGACTACAATGTGTCAGTTTCTTTTGAGGAATTGATGCAAATATGTGTATCTGCAGAGTGGAAACTAATGTTAGATCAATAATGTGGGCTGAAATTGTTTTGCATGAAGGTTTGGCAATATTTCTCCTGGAGTGCAGTTTCTCTTCCACTGTGTGAAGTTCAGCAGAACTCTGTCTTGATGAATGAGTTTCTCCTGATGCTTGCTTGCAATAATCGACACCTGGAACCCTTCAAATCATAGCAATAATTCCTAATAAAATGCCGACATAGTATCAAAAAGTGATCTTTCAACACAGACTAAAGAGAAATACAAATAAGTGTTCATATTTGCCTTTAATGGACATTATTTATGGTTCACTGATTGCGTTTTCAATTTTTGTTTAAAATTTAAATTATTCAAGAATCAAATGTTACAAAAGATACACAGCAAAAAGTTTTCTTTCCCATTCCTTACTCACCCAATTGCATTCCCCCAAAGCAGTGTTAACTAAAAGCAACAGCTGACTGGGTACCCCTCTCCTTGGTTCCAACTTGGGGGAACAAGGAGAGACATGTTCTTAATGAACACTGGATTTTCTAAACTGTATTGGACCCATGCATTCCATTTTTGCACAATTTTCCTGTAAATAAACCTGACATGTAGCAGTGGGGGAAATGAATATATAAAATAACATAGAATTGATAAAATAACATTCTACTATATAGAACTGATATTTAAACCATATATTTTGATGTTTGCTATATCAGTTAAATAGGCATTTTTGTAATTAGAATGGACTGTGTCATTGATCCATTAAAGTTTCCTGGTTTTTAATGGAAGAACATAATATTGCTAGATAACAATGGTCTTGTTTGGCAGTCCTTTTTCACTTCTGCAATTTGCTTTCAGTGTGTCTGATTGTAAGTGGGCATTTAAAAATAAATTTCTTTTAAAAATGAAATAGTGATCCTCCCTGGTGACGCAGTGAATTAAAGCACAGCACTAAGAAGCTAAAGCCATTTCAGCATGAGTTTCGCTGGGAGGTGACCACATGGCGCGGCAGACCTCTCCTGACCCGCCCGCTGCTCCCCTCAGCAGTGTACTTTGTCAATCTGCCTGTTCTGCTCCCCACTCTGTCTCTGGTGAATTCTCTCACCGCCCCTGCAACTCTGGCCTGTACCCCAGTTCTTTTTTCATAAAATAAATAAATTTTTTAAAAAATGAAATAGCATTTGATCACCTTTTTTGAAAAGCACAGAAAGATGAGCAAGTGAGATAAGAAAAACTGGAAGTTTTGGCATTTCTGTTGGGCTGTGCTATTTCACTTGAGGTAATAGAGTTCACGATTATTTTCTAAACTCCTACTAAATCTTAAAGCATTCCTCTAAGAACCATCAGAAATATAAGCTCAGAGCTAACATGAAAAAGGTCAAGTTTCTTATACTTTGTACCAGCAATCTGAACTTGCCTATTCTCAGAATTCCTAATTCTCTACCACCAGGTAAGGTCTCCTAAATTTAGAAATGATTTGTCAAAACAAAGGAAAAGGACTTATACAGATAACAGCTCTATCTCTGGCTTTCTGAACTTATTTTTTTTTATGTTTTTCTTTGACTTTAAAAAAATAAATGTTAAACTTTTTAACTGGGGTAACTTTAATTTATAAATGGATAAATAAATAAGAAAACACCTAAATCCATACAAATAATGCAAAATAAAGCTTTTTAATTACAGCTATAGAAAATTTATTTGCTTCCTTCTAAACCTTCTAAACCCTTAGATGCTACTGATAAATCTTAATGTTCAGTTGCATGTTTAATTCATATCTAATGCTATAGATCCCTTTGAGAAAAATTTTACATTATATATATTACGATATTTTATTATATTATATGCATTATGACCCATATGTGAGTTATGTTAAACATGGTAAAACGTACAGCATGAAAGATTTCAGTTTATGCTCTTCCCTTTCTAACATGCATTTATTCTAAATTTTATTTTATAAATTATCTTGAGAGTTTTTCCTTTTATGTTATGCAAAGTTTGTTTAATGCAAACTTGAGAACTTTCTTTAGACCATATTTAGCTATATTTATTTATTCCCTTTAATTCAATTTTGAAAAATACTTCTGCATTTGGCAAATGAAGTTTTTATAAAATAAAAGACTTACAGGTTCTAATTAAATAATTAAAAACTTGTATTATCCCTTAGGTCTATTTCACAAGGTCTATAACAGAATGAAACAAATAGCACACCTGAGGGGCGAGCTAAGGGGCCTCCCTGGCTGCCAAAGCATTAAGGCGTAGTGCTGTGAAGCTATCCACAGCCACCTCAGTATGAGTTCCATCCCCAGCCAGAGAGCTAATCCCCACATGACACAGCAGACCTCTTCTGCCTTGCCCGCTGCTCCCCTCAGCTGTGTAATTTACATGGATCTGCCTCTTCTGCTCCCCACTCTGTCTCTGCTGAATCCTCTCACCACTCCCCCCACCCCATACCTCTGACCTTTACGCTGGTTCTTGTATGCATAAATAAATAAATCTATAAAAAGTATATACTCTATTCAGTTTGGAGAAAGATTAAAGGAAATCCTTAGTGCAGACAAAGTGCACTGGAAGCTACTATGTCACCCTTAGGTCTAAAAGACTAAGGGGAGGGTTTTATTGGAAATTTGTGACCTGACACAGTGAAGGATGTTTCTAGTCTTTTCCAAACCAAAACATAGCAGGGAGAGAAGCTGGGAAATAAACACCCTGCCCACTCTTCCCTTTTCATCCTTTGATCCCCACCAGTGCCATGAAAGGTCAGATTGGCGCAGATAATGTTGTTTATTTGCATGGCAATTCCCAAGGCATAGGGTGAGACTGAGAAGATCACTCAGTTCCCCAAATCTACTTGTTTATGGATAGTCTAATACTAGATAAGGTTCAAGTGTCTCTGGGTTTACAAAGCTATAAAAAAAACACCTACCTGTTGAGTATCACAAACTTAGTATGCTGCTTAATGTTTTATATATTTTATTAAATGATCCTCACAACCACCTTATGATATGCTGAAAATATTAAACCCATTTCATAGATGAGGAAAACAAGTCTTAAAGAAGTTAACTACCTTAACAAAGCCCAGAGCAGGAGCAAGTATGAAGGGAATGCTTCTCCACTCCATGTGTCGAAATCAAGTGGGGAATGAAAGATCTCTGTCGAAAGAAATCAAGTGGGGAACCTTGTTAAAATGAAAGATCTCTGTGTCTCCTCAGCTTCCAACTGAGAACCAGACTATTTGTGTTTGAACATCTACATGTGTTAACAAACACCTCAGTTGAGATGTTTGAAAATCACAAACACAAATTTTACTAATTTGAGGAGAAAGAATACCTTCAGGGAAGTTGTAGGGAAGGAACAGAATCCTTGTCTGTTATCTTCTTGAAAGGTCCTCCCCACACAGCCTATAAATACTTCCTAGGTTACTGGTTAAAACCAAGCATAGAACTGTCAGGAAAAGACACAGATAAAGCATTTTTATTTGCTTTTCAGTCTACAGGCTTATTCTAACAAGAATTTGCTCACTTTTAAATCATATCAGGATGCTCGTAAACTTTATTTTCCTTCTTTTGCACAGAAAATTACTGCAGTTGAGTCTGACCAGAGATGGATTTGGAATAGGTATTTTATTTGTATTCATTTTACCAATTGTGATTCTTTCTACTGAACTATTTCATAAAATGAGAAGCAACTATATTTCTGTTTCCTGCGAGCCAGGAACTCCGGTTGGGCAGAAAATGGTGAAGAGGAAAGTAATAGTGTCTGCACTCACTTTTACTTAATACTCTGAAGTTTATTTTCAAGTTTATAAAACTGAGGTGTAGAAGATAGGTACTCTGAAATATAAGAACGTGGAAGTTAGAGAGGTATCCCTGGTGGCTTTTTGATAATGAGGTTTATGAGACACAGTATAGTCTGGGAATTCTGATCTCTCTGTCTCCATCACTCACTGTCTTTTCCTACTCAAAACTTCCTACAAGAACAAGATAGACAGTTTGCATTTTAGTTAAGGGATCACACTATCTAAATGATTCCAATGATGCCAAGTTTAGTAGTCTTTCTCTTACCTTATAATGTCTTTCAAATATCTATTTTGCACAGTTTAAGTTAATTAAACCCTAAGTTTTCCTGTTCCAATAAAAGAAATGTTTCTGTTTCTATCATACTATGTTGAGATACCTAAGAACAGAAAACAAACAAAAAAAAATGAAAATCTTGGAACCAGAATAATTAGAAAGCAAATAATCATCTCATAGATTGACTTCTGGATGTAAAAAGAAGAGATAAGCTCTCGTTTAGGATAGAAAGATATAGACAGAAGGAACTACAAGGTTTTGGTTGGAAAGATAATGTCAAAGTGACTCCAAAGGAGACGAATAAAGAGGTAAGTAAGCAGACTGATGGCTGGTTCTTCCTTCACCCACATCTGCTATGGTGCACTCAGGCATTTGTCTCTGCTGTCCCTTTGGTCACTTTGTAGTCAAGCAGTTTGTCCACCCTTGCCAGGCCAGCCTTCCTCTCACACATTAAAAAATACTTGTTCTGACAGGAGGTCGGGTGAATCTTCCCATTATGAAAATAAGCACAATTCATAGTCTCTCTTGCATTTCCAGAAAGCTCAAATCTGTGAATAGAAAAGGTAGCATGAGCTCCTTGAAAAGTTAAATAACAATCCACAATCAAACTGGAGTATTCTGTTGCACCAGATGGAGACAAAAGTCTGGGGAAAAGAGTAAGTAATAATATTGAGATCATTGAGAAGCTTCCAAACTGCTAGAGTGTATACACTGAAATAGCTCAGAGGTAACTTAACATAGCATAAGATTAAGCAGTGTGTGGACAGCAGTGATAGGAGACCAGAGGAAGAGCTAGCAGGAAGTCTGAAATGATGGGAAAGATTTGATCCTTTTATAGAAGATTAGAGTTTAGCCCTGTCCTGAAGGAAAGATAGGACTTATATAAACAGAGAGGCTACAGGACAGCACTATAGGTCAAGCAGCTATACAGAGTGGGAGTGAGCTTAGGGAAAGTTAAATTGATTGTTTATGAGCTGAGGGTTAATGCTGTGGAATAGCAAACAGAAGGCAGCATTCTGTGTTGTAACTGCCTTTTAAGCCAGCTCTCTGGCCTACTGTTTGTCCAAGCTTTGTGTATTGGTGACAGAGTAAGCAAACAGAAGGTCCTGTTTATAGGGAATTTACAGTACAGTCAGAGGAAATTGGTAAGAAGCCAATAAATAAATGGCCAGGAAAATTTCAGAGTGCTAAGAGTTATGAAGAAATAAGGTGGTAGCATGGACTTGGGTGGGTGTGGCTAATTAGCTTGGGTAATTAAACTGGCCTCAGAGAGGAAGGGATGTCGAAACAGAGAATTGAGCCAGTAAAGGAAGCCTGTGGGGAATTCTTGTGGCAGAGCAATCTAGAAGGAAACAGCAAGGACAAAGCCCTCAACTGTAGGGTGAAAGGTAGAGTTGGGTTTTTAGTGGTTTACTTAATATGGAATGATCAGATGCTGGCTCACTTCTTAGAATGCCACAAGAACAAATAATTCATTGGTGAGATACTCATTGATAACACACTGGAAACTTATGTGATATTATGAAGCAGTACCATATAATAAACATTTATAAAAGAATAAAACTATGATTTTGATGAAACCCAAGACACATCTTGATATTTGATTAATAGAGCAGAGAAGCCCTAAGACAGCAAGATCAGTTTGATTTGCTGAAAGAATTGGGAGAGTGTTCTGACTGTAATGTGAATGAGGCTGCAGGTTAAGGGAGACAAAACCCAAGTTCTATGGAGAAGCTTGCTTGTACTCATACACTAACTCCTATTTATAGGAAATGTTTAATGATATTTGTTGAGTAAATTAATTGAAAATTTGGGTGATCAGATTGCACAAATTTTGGGCTATCCATTTAAATTTTAACTGGAGAAACACTGAAATGTTGGTAGACAAGATGAACAAAAGGTGTTGAGGCAGAAGACTGGAAAGTCACCATGGAAAGGAATGCAATGCGATCGCCCCATTTGTGTGATTATCTGTAAAAAGACAGTCTTATGTGGTGCCTTCAGAACCACCTTGGTGGTGATGAGAACCCCTGGGGTGGAAGAGTAGGTAGGTGAAGTGGCACTGAAAACTCAAAAGGATCCTCAAGGAAATGCCTTTAGCCATAAAATGAGGATGGTGAATGTGCTCTACAACTGTGGGAAGAATCAGATCAAGTGAAAAATAGAAGCGTATAGCTATCTATCTATATTCAATGCGGCAAGTGTAAATACGGGGGTAGAAATGAATAGGGAAATCATTGGGAGTAGAGGTGAGCTGTGACTTAGAGTAGAGGCATGTAAACTTAGGCAAGCAGAATTGTTGTATTATTGATACTCGCTGCTCATGTAACCCACCATAGGGTACAGGGCCACCTCCGACGTTGTAGTAACTTGTACTTAAGAGGAAAAGTATCTCAGGAATCAAAGTCTCTCATCCTGCTTTCTGAGCGGCTAGTGACTTACATGCTGCTGGAGGGGATGGAGCCGTCTTGCCATGTCCAATCGTTAGAGTTCCGGCGGGATAATCCAACCCAACGAAAGAAATTAGTCCTGCTTTTGATGTATTCCTGTTGCAGACACAAGCACAATGATCAGAGCGGCCCCCCCTTGTAAAGACATAAAGACAAAAATTGATGGATGGACAAGAAAACAGGTACAATAAAATCTACATTAATATTCATTATAATAGGTTCTTAGAGTTGTGCCTAGTTTATTCTTTTAGAAAAAAAGTACTTGTGGCATAAGTAAAAAGCAGTGATTGTACACAAGCCAGCTGATACGCTAATCTTTCTATGTGTTTGTTTTCAATGGAAGATTAGAGTACCAAGTGGAGGACCAAGTAGGATTTTTTTTTTACAAAAGTTTATTTTTACATCATTTTATACATTTTTTTTCCATCTCAATTGTAATCCCCGTGAGTTTTCAAATAGGATTCTTAAATGAGAATATGGGTGACCAAAGAGAAGGGAAATTTAAAAAAAGTAATATATTGTTAGTGAAAATTTGTATTCCCTAGATTTAAGTTCCACGTACTTTTGTTTCATTGATTGGTTGCCTACAAAATCTTACATATAGAAGTGTTAATTTAGTTTAGTGGATGAAGTAAAAGAGAATTACATGGTGTTTTTCTCTAAGCAATTTAGAAATAACATATACTACCTTTTCCCGTTGTCTTTTTTCTACTTAGCATTATCCTTACCAATTATACTATATCCTGTACTTATTTTGTTCATTGCCTTTCCAACTAGGATATAAGATCCCCAAGGTTAAGGATTTTTGGCTGTTTTACTAACTGCATAAGATTAAATCCTCAAAGTATTCCAGCATATATTTGTTGGATTAAGGGATGAATTAGTCAACCAACCAACCTATGTGTAACAGAAATGAAAGGAAGTCAAGTGTGTGTAATTCTCATACCTCTCAGAAAATCAGGTGAGACTATGTTATTGGCATATAAAAATGACTTGTGTTTCCTGACAGACATGTAAGATATAGAACGGCAAAGTTTGAAAGTCACTTTTGACTGCTTATTTCTTATTGTTTGAACACCTGTCATTTCTGTTCGTACCTATACTTTTCTTTTAAATAAACCTACATCCTATACTTATAAAGTATGGTCTACCTGAAATTTTGCCTAAAATTCAACTTTTCTTTATTTCTCAAAAGTTACATTACTTCTTCTCTCTTAGTCAGAAATCTCCAACTGGTATCAGTCTAGAAAAATAAAATTGAAAGCATATGTATGTCTCCAACTAATATCTTTTTGGAGTGGAGATTTCAGGGCATTCTCACATTGCATCTGATTGGAAAGAAAAGTCAGTTTATTTGTCTGAATGTCTTCCCTATGAGTCTGAACCCATAAAACAGGGAGATAATATGACAAGTTAAATAACAAAACACATAAGCATGGGGGCCTCTATTCATGTCCAGAGCACCACTGTATACATCAGGTCTCAGGAAGGCCTCAGTTAATTTGCTGATCAAATGAAGATATTCTGTCAAATACGACAGGCTTGATTACTTGAGTTCTGTGGAATTTCTCCAATACAAATGTTGTTGTTCTAGTCTATTTTAAAATATATAAAAATATTAATTATTTCTATATGAGAATGTATGGAATACATATATAGAATTTCTGCTTTCACATTATGTTTTGATAGATAGATCTATAATTAGGCAGAAGGAAGGTCCCAAGGCTGGGTTTCCCAGAATTTGAGAAGAGAAGCTACATGAAATTATAAAAGGAGCATATGTGAGGGGTGTGAACATATTTGGACACAATATAGTTCTTGTTTCAAACTGTCAAGAAGAAAATTTGGAAAACAAACTCAACGGAAAAGTTCTGACAAATATGTGCTGCGATAATCTGAGGACCTAACTCCATGCAGTTATTAAAACAGACAAAAATCTCTAACCTCATGGATCCTATATCCAGTTGGAAAGGCAATGAACAAAATAAATAACCACAGTGTCTAGTATAACTGGTAAGGGTAATTGCTCAGTTGAAAAAAGACAAACCAGACAATTTTGAATCTGTAATTTTTGTATCTATAAATAAAAAGTCTCCCAAAGCTATGTTTGGGAAAGCATATGCAATGACAGTTTGCATCTAAGTTTGTTCAAATTGTCCACATTTGTGCAGAAACTAGTAAAATATGTAATATTTAGATAAGATTAGCATTTATATTTTACAATCATATGAACTTTCTTTACATTTCCAGATTCTTTTGTAAATTAGGAAATAGAATTAAGGACACTAACCAAGGCTCAGTGAATTCTTACACAGAAAAGATCTGAACAGAAAGTGTTATAAATCCTACTTACGCATATTCTATTCTCAAATGCAATGCATGCTGTGCTCTATAAGGTTAAAGTTTGCAGATTAGCACCCTCTGGGAGACAGGAGAAGTGTAAAAGGCAAAAACCTAATATTTCACTATTTCTCCTTCTGACACCAAAATAGTTGACATGGAAATGTCCTTACCTGAATGTTCTGGTCGGTGATCTTCACGAGGGTGGCATTTCTGTCAGCACAATACTGCTTACCTCCGGCCCAAGTCACATTCTGCCTGAAGAATCCATAGCAACTATCTCCATAGTATCGCCAGTTTTTATCACAGGGGCTGCAGGGATGAGCTAGGAGAAAGTGAACACGGAACCTTTCATTCTAAATTGAGCTGACTTACATTTCCCCTATACTCAGATTGCTTTGCTTTGCTTTGCTTTCAGATTTCAAGGTTCTCTACAGCTAGCACCAGGGTTAAGGGTGATGAATAGATGATCCAGCCATACTTACTGAGAACAACTTTTGGTTCTAATTGTTCTAATATTTGTAGGAAATCTTGACAGACCTTCTTTGTTAGTTGCTTCAGAGTTGCTGAGGGATTTTCATTCTCTGGTTGTTGGTAAATTTGCTGTGTGACAGCTAGATGTAAAAATTAGATCAATTCATTATCAAAATATGGGGATGCAAAGAACTCTGTAAATTTTAACTTCAATAGAATTATCAGTCACTGAATGTTTACTTGAATGAGTGCTGAAAGGGATCAAGTTAATGGGAGAGGAAATGACAAATTAGGCATTATTTGCTGACAAGTTTTCATCATTTTTCAAATCACTGTGAAGGAATTCCATGTTGTATATTGAAAACTCCCATAAGCCCTTCCACCTTCAAAAAAAAAAGCTAAGAACAAATTGAGAGCTATGTTAAACTCTGACTTGAGTTACCCAGAAGAATGAGTGATTTGTTTGCAGGAACAATCACAAATAAGAAAATGACAAAGTGGTCGTTTGGCTATTTATCTTAAATGCACATTTTTAAGCAGTTTCAGAGAAGTGAATGACCTCTGTTACTTGGAATTTTTCATGTAATATTATTGTGATATTCAGGTAAATAAACAGCCAATGGTTCTAAATTATTTGTAAAAAAATAAAGAAGTATACAAACCATTAACACCTACACAGATAATAATGTAACTCTGAAGGGCTCTTTGGTTTAAAGGAATAAAAATAATTTCTAAATTAGGTGGACTATGAATTTTCTCTTTCCGGAAGTTATCCCATTCAGGAGACAAAGCACACAGGAAAATATTTTTGGAAGAGAGAATACAATAAGCAAAATCTCAAGCAGAGACCCAGGCAGAATTTTTTTGTGAAACTGAGAGATTCCACATTTTGGGGGGTCTTAAAGATGAAGGGCAGAGAGAAAAAAATTCAAAGGAGAGGTGGACCCACTCTCAGTTGAAAACTCTTGAAAGTAGTTTTTAATTAATAAAAAGAATTCAAAGTGGATTTTAATCAAAAGGGAAAAGTCAGAACATTCCTTTATTAAGACTATTTTGGCCGGCCCTCCCTAGTGGCTCAACGGGGCTAGGGCGCAGCACTGCAAGCAAGGGGTGAGTCACACCCACCGGGAGCTGACCCACATGGCGCGGCAGACCTCTCCTGACCCCACGCTGCTCCCCGCAGCAGTGTACTTCGTCGATCTGCCTGTTCTGCACCCCTCTCTGTCTCTGGTGAATTCTCTCACCGCCCCTGCACCTCTGGCCTGTACCCCAGTTCTGTGCGCATAAATAAATACATCTTTTAAAAAAAAGAGTAAATCTTAAAAAAAAATGAAGCTTTGGGGGTACACCCAGCCCCTTAGGTTTGGCCTTTCTCAGATGAATCCTCTGGCAATGTGTCTATACTTACTCATCATCCCCAGGGCCACCAGCCCAACGACCATCCCCATGCATATGACCAGCAGAACCAGAGTCATCACGCGCCATAAAGAGGAAGAAGCAGCATCAGCTGTTGGCAGACAATAAACATGGCAAGGGCAGGCAGCAGAGACCCGCTGTGGGGCAGACTCACCCCTGTCTTGCCCTCTCAGGATCTCCCATGTGACATAAACAGCTCTGCTGGTAAATCTTGACAGTGTCTGCTTGGTCAACATCAACAATAAGTACAACCCCCTCCCATATCCCACGCTACCCTGACCCCAATGCACTTCTCTCTGAATCAACACATAACGAACTATTAATACCTTATTTTCTGTATTTGTTTTGGTCTGTGCCCTTCTATAAACAATTGCTTTCATAAGCAGCAAGTGGGGGAACACCCTCATTAGCTGATAGCCTACAAAATGGGGTCTCCTGAAATATTTTCCCAGTATCCTCTTGCTTTCTATCTACCCCCCACCCCCAGCACTAAACTCTATGAGCCTTAATGCAAGGTTCCCTGCTGGTATACCTTGTTGTCCACCTTCAAAATAAATTACCTGAGCTTATGTGGATGCTATTCAAGTGCTGAGGGCCAAGAGATCATTCAGGAAAGTAAAACTATATGTGCCATCCCAGGTTGACCCATTTCTAAAATTTATTTCTAAATTTCTGGCTCTGGACATTCTTACCTGAGGTGAGAGCTGGCTTCCGGCTTTTAATGTTTAAGGTGATGTACCCGTCTTCATCCTGCATGGCTTTTCTTAAGACTGCAAGTGAGCTGCGGACTCAAGAGCTTTGCAAAATGTACTGTCCACACTTGTGATTTCAGTGTCTGCAGCTCATGACTCTCCTATCAGTTGGGGCACATGTGTTTTTTGTTTTGTTTTTGCTTTTTTTTTTTCCCCAGGAAGTCCTTTCATAGCTGTTCAGAGATACAGCAACCTTGAACATAAGACATGAAAATAATAATAACTTGTGGTAAAGGAGTAGATATGGCATTTGTTTCCTGTTTCCTTGTTGTCAACTCTGAGTGAAAGAATATTCCATCCTGTGTATCCTCTCAAAGAACAAGAGTTCAGACTCCATGTGAACCCTAGCAGAGTCTAAATCATATTATTTAAGTGAACTGATTTCCAATGAAAAGTCATGGATAAAACATCAGCAGAAGTACAAATTTATAGTTGTCTGCTAAGTCTGGTTTTATTTATTTGTTTATTATTGTTGTTATTCTTTTTTTTTTCCTGATCCCTCGTTTGGCTCCTCTAGATTCCTTTTCTTTTTCTTTTCCTTCTATCTTATTTCACCAAGCATAATTCCTTCTAGCTCTATCCATGTTGCTACAAATGGCATGAGTTTATCTTTTTGGATTGATGAGGAGTATTCCATGGTGTATATATACCACATCTATTTGATCCTTGATCCATCTCTTGGATCCATCTCCTTAATCTATCTGCCAGATCCAGTCATCATCTGTTTTGGGGTATTTGGGTTGTTTCCCCTATCTTACCTCTTGTAAATAGTACTGCAATAAACATCGGGGTGCAAGCATCCTTTCAAATTAATATTTTGCATTGCTTGGATAGACTCTTAGGAGTGGAATTTCTGGGTTATATGGTAGTTCCATTTGTAGTAGTTGAGGAACTACCGCTTTCCATAGTGGTTGGGCCAGTCTGCATTCCCACCAGCAGTAACTGCTAGTAACGTCTGTTTCTGCCATGCCAGACTCTGCCCCTTGCTGCCTGTGACAACCCTGACCTTCCAGTGCAGCCAGGGACAAGCTCCATCCCACCTTGCCCTCCTCCATTGCCCCTCATGGTCTTCTTTCCCTATTACTCATCTTTTTGGTTCTTTCTTTGCTTTTTTTACTTAAAATCTTTTTTCCTAAACTGTGCAGAAATACTAAAAAATAATTATGACTGAGTGCCAGAGAAAAAAGGCTGGGTAAGCTATAGCTCGTAGTCAAAGTGGCACTTCTTCAAGAAAGCTTTTAACTCTGTCCTAGTGAAAATAGATTATTTCTAAAAAGGTACAATTAGTTAAAAAATATATAAGATCTGTGGACATTTAGATGTTTTTATAGTTATTGTAAATATTTTCCTATTTGATGAACAGAAATGTTAAGGTATGAAGCATAATAATTGATTTGCTTTAGGGGTTTTCCACATTTTCTAGGCCTTTTGGGCAATTGGTTTAATAATTATAAAAACATTCCATTTATTTTTTCTTGTCAACCACCAGAATTGTGCTGGGCTTCCTTCTTGATTTCTGAAACAGTTAAGGACTTAAGAATGCCTACGCTGTACATTGAATACCAGAAATAAACAAAACTGAAATGGGTAACAGGAGCCTTAAGAATGACATTCTTTGCATTTATCACAAAATGACTATGTATCGTCACCTATAGCTCAGCCTTCCAGTTTTCTCAAAAGAAGTTCCTTCCTCTTTCTAACTGCAATTTGTGGTTGGTTTCAGGATTTTTTGATAGTTCTAGCACAGTCTGAGGGGCTAAGGTCTAGATCTATATGCTATAGCAATAAATTTGCTTTTATTTGTACTCCAAATATTATAGGCTCCCCCAAATGAGGCTTTGTGGTGTGAGAAAGGAGTTCTTGCTAGGTGAAAGCAAACTACTAGGTTGGTGACATATTAGTCTAAATTCTGTTTTCTCCTTCAACATATTCTATAAATAAAAGTTGAGTTACTCAGCAAAGATAAGCAGAGAATTGCAGGATAAAAGATGAAGATAACAACCTTTATCCTCTTTCAAAGCCCAGGGGCTTTGCTAGATATCTCTTGACTACCTTGCAAGACCTATTATTGATATTTTATTTCTGCTTGCGAGCTATATAGCTTCCTGTTCTTGGGAGCAGAGTAGTACATTTAAAAGTACATCAAATTCTGATGACTTTGAATTTTGAATAAAACCCTTAAAACCCTTTATTGTTAATATTTTATAGATTAATAGGCTGGTTTTGTTTTGTTTTGTTTTTAAGATTTACTATATTTATGTTTACAAGAGCTGGGGTATAGGCCAGAGGTGTGTGGAAGGATGGTGCATGGGGTGGGTGAGAGACTTCACCAGAGACAGAGTGAGGAACCCAACAGGCAGATTAAATGAAATACACCGCTGAGGGCAGCAGCAATCACCACTGGAATAATCTTCCAAATGTATAATTTTTGTCTCTTATCCCCCAGAGAATGCATTCCATTGCTCTAAAAAGCAACTATCTGTCAACTGTGGCAGAGGATTTGTTCTACACATTAGAAAATTGAAGGGGAAAAAAGTGTTAGTCTGCACCCACACCCTGGAAAGTTTATTATCCTTACAATACGAAACATCTGCAAATAAAACAGGCAGAATACCCAGAGTAAGTATGACTCTCATTAAGATTTGGAGTGAGGCACAACGGGTTAAAGCACTGCATTAAGAGGCTGAAACTGATTCTGCACGAGTTCGATTCCCGCCTGCCCCGGAGGTGACCACATGGTGTGGCAGCCCTCTCCTGACCCGCCCGCTGCTCCCCTCAGCAGTGTA